TATATACAAATGAAGGTGCATGGGGAAGGCACAGGATGTACCAGGAGTGATATTAGATAGTGGTAATTAGAACCTAATGGGCATAAGTGAAACCTTGTGGACAGTTCTCGTAACAGGAACATCCATCCAGGTTGATGGATGCCATCTCTACGGGAATGAGAGCAAGGGAAGGAAAGGTGGAGGGTGGACGAGCAGACCCCAGGTGACACAATTGGACAATGTCAAAGGAAATGATGGAGTATTTGGGGCGAAGAGATGCCAAAAAGCAAGTTGAGAGAGAAAAAGGTGAACATTTTGTTTTTAGCCATCAAAGCACACAACAGAGCAAAATAAAACCATGCATCCAGGGGGTCTGAATCACATGACCACACAAATGAGGGACTCGAATTTCCAGCCTGTTTTGTTGCTTCACTCTTCTGCCCACAGTGTCTGAAGGGTCTCCAGCCCGTTAAGAAAACAGCTTACCCCTGTGAAGCACAGAATACATGAAGAAATAGTAGCCTACTCCCACCAGTGGACAGCGGAGTGAGGGGCTGTCAATGAACTTCATTTTGCATGATCATAAACCATGTATATGCACATCTGGTAAAACAAGCTGATTCATAAAAACAAAGCACAAACAAAAACTTACACGTCCCAAACCAAATCTGAGAATCAGACTTCAGGCAACTTTGGCCCCAGAAAAGCACTGGCTACACTGCTCTCCCTTGGCCAGACCCAAGCGTGCACAAAGGTCACTGCATATGTAACCCCACGGCACACTCCAGAATGCAAGGCTAGAAGCGCGCTCTGTTTTGGAGGTGGCCCAGGACAGTCTTCTACCTCCAGGCTTGCTGAGGAGTCTTCAGGTGCCTACCATGCATTCATTGCCTGATGCAAATGGAGAAGAGCCTGCCTCTGCCAGGAGCATTTATGATCACACCTGAGACATTTAAGGATGTGTCTACACGTGGAAAGTCGGAAACTGGGCCCTTCTCCAAATCCATCAGGTCCCCCAATGTGCTTCGGTCAGACCACCGGGCGGGCAGCAGAAGCAACATGTTTTCATTGACGCTTCCTAGGAAGTTACAAAGAAAGGGAAGCAGGAAGCTGAGGTATAGAGAAAATCCACAGTTTTACGCTCAAGAGCTTCAATGGGAGGAAAACCAGATGGAACCGCTAAACCGTTTCCATTTTTAACATGCACCTTGTACAGCTCTTCTGTGCCCAAAGGGAGAAAGAAAATTCTTGGATCTTCTTCCTCCTTTTTAGAAATTTCCGAAGTGATGCCAGTGGTTGAATACAAAGCCTCTGTATTTTTAAAAGTTGGATCCTGTACAATGAAATGTTCTTTTTCTAGGGTTTAACAAAAACGCCGGCGTCACCGCCACAGCCACACCTGCTCTTTCACAAAAATGATAGCCACCGCAGCCCCTCCTCAGAACTCCCAGAGCTGCGAACCATATTTCAGCTTCGGCCTCCGGACTGTGTTTATCCATTCAGCTCGTTCTCCCAGAAGGTGTTTCTTACACCTAAAAGCAGGCTGGTAACCCTCGAAAAGCAACACGTTCCATTACACCCTCCCTGCCCCAAATTTACACTGTGATACATCTCAAGGTACGAAAACACGCAGTTGTGTTCACCAAGGCGAAGGCTCAATAAAAGAACTCAGATTCCAGACTCACATCCATACGCTTAAATGCCGGAAACATTTAAAAAGAAGGAATGCATGAAACCAAGGAGAAAGAAAATGTTTCCACGCGATGAGAAAGCCACCAAGGATCTGGGCAGAACGTGCAATTCAGTGACAAAAGAATTGGTACTTGGGACAGTTACGAATAAGGGAGCTACAGAAATGTCTAGCGCACAGTTACATTAAAAAATAATTTTGGATGTTCAAATTCTCCTGTGTGCACACTGCAACTGGAGAATGTACTAGAAACCCCCAACGGGAAAATCCTTATGTCATAATGCTTCCTCGACTTCCAAAAGTGGACCACTGTTTCTAAGGGAATAGGGACCCCAAGCAGAGAGAATAAGGAAAAGAAATCTGCAACAAGTAAAACACTTTGCTTCATATTTTAAGGCCAAGATTTATAGCAAGGAAGTGAGTAAAACAAGCCAAAGGTGTGAGTGAAAAGTAGCCAGAAAGCAATGCAACCTGAACAATGAGATCGCCCAGCGATTTAGGGGTGGGGGGGAGAATGATTCCTTACTTACTGAGCAATATCTTTAAATATAACTTGTGGGGGGTGGGATCTAGACAGTAACCAATGAGAAACTTTAAAAAAAAAACAACTAGGTAATAGTGTATCTTAAATATATGTTATGGCAGGGAAAAACATCGATTTGTCTGAAAGGATCTGTGAATTGACTCAACTATTAAAAAACTTTGGTGACAGGTTGGAAAGAACAGGAAATGTTCCAAGAGAATGGAAATGACAGAAAACTAAGCCTTAAAGAGAAATAATGTGAAAAATGAAGATATAGAAAGAAGAGATGAATGCGTCCATGGACTAAAAATCTAGCTGTGTAAAATTTAGCTAGATAGAATTAAGAGGGCAATTCTATCTAGCTAAATTCTGTGTTTTAGAAAACATAAAAAAATATAAATACAAATATATCAAATATAAAATAGGCAGGGTAGTCCACACACAGATAAGGCATAAAAGTATAAATGTGCATAAAACAGATTTAGTAAAATGATGGTTTGCAGAAACCTGGTCACCAGATGGATCTGCCCTTGTTTTGAGGGTCTTGTGGGAGCTGACCACAAGCACCTCCATTTTGTAGACTAGGGGGACTGAGGCCTGGAGAAGTATGGGCTCTAAGACCACAAAGTGAAGTGACCCAAAGAAGGGTCTCCAACGAAGCATGAGGGAGCAAGTGGTCACGGTGACACTTACACAGTCAGAGAAGCGAAGAAAGCAGCAGTGGGCAGTTTGAAGGGTGAGGCCCGGCCCCCTGCTCCCCGGATGCTGGCTGCTCGGGACCCTTCCTCAATCAGAGCTGTGACATTGAGGCGAGTGGCTGTTCAAAGTAGTATCTACTTTAGCTTTACACTTTGAGATGAACGGCATAGCAGGGATCAAAAGGGGCTCGCCAAAACCAGCACCCACCAGAAGCCAGCCCGAGATATCCATGCTCCCAGGCAAATAGTACCCCGTTAACTTCCTGCCTGGTGCCAACGTGGTACCTCCAAAATACTATCACGTTTAAAGTCAAGGACAAGTCACACCTCGCTCACTCTCTCCCCCCATATTTACACATACACACACACACTCCTCCCTTCATGCTCTTTCTGGAAGGGGGAGCCCCAGAAGTAATGCTCCCAAATGGCCCGGGGGAGTGCCTGTCACAGATATTCCAGATCCAGGGTGAGGTCCAGGGGCTGCCGCCACCCCGAACCCTTGCCACGGAGAACTAGCAAAAGCAAGTAATTGCTTTTTCCCCTTCCACTAATAAGCTTTTCAGCAGAGGAAGAATTCAGCTTCCTGTAGTCAACAGACCCTTTTTTTCCCTGCCTCTCTTCGCTCCAAATAATCTAAAGTGACTGCAATTTCAGTCCTGGCTCTCCAGCATTCAGCTCCACCGGCTGAGGTCAGAGGGTGTCAAGTGAGGGCTCTCCATTTCTTTTCTACTCGGCCTTCACGCCACCCATGCTTCTTTGTAACTGAGGCGACCTGCCTCCCCAGCCGGGCTGCTGTCTGTGTCACCAGCCCACGGTGTGCATGGACTGTAGTCAGGATTCCAGAAAATGCTTTTTTTTAAGGCTCAGAAAACACTGGGGGAGGGAGAAAAAAAAAAAAATCCTCTCCTTGCTATAAACAACTGATTAGTAATGACCAACTACAGATGCTCTGGTGACCTGAGCCACTAATTTCCAGGTTTTGAGAAAATACATTATAGTAGAGTGTGAGAGTGTGAGTGTGTGAGTGTGTGTTAAACCAGGGGCTGGTGGTGTGGGTCTTGGTTTAGTTTTATGCAAATGACTCTGGTTCCAGATTCTCTCCTCAAGCTCTTGCCCTGCATTCGCTGGCGTCGGCGGCCTCGAGCCTGGCTTCGCGTGGAAATCAGCGGCGCCCCACCCCTCCGCCTCACTCCCCAGGTGAAAGAAATGTGGCTGCAATTAAGAACGGGCAGCACCCGCGCCTCCCCTTCTGGCTTCACGGAGACCTGAGCAGCCAGCACAGGCTGAACTGAAGGTGAGCAACACGGACGAAGGGAGACGGACCGACGGAAGGAACAGGTGTGTGCACGGGAGGAGGGAGGCCCGGGCAGGCAGGTTCCTGGCCTTCGGGGGAGAAGAGGGTGATGTGCAGATGCCAAGAGGCCTGCTTCTGGAAAAGCAGCCCCCAGCAGGGGAAGCGGAGGCAGGTCTGGGGAGATGCTGCTCACTGGGCCTGCGGCCGATGCCCGCGAGGTTCTAGAAGGGAAGAGAAGGCGAGGTGTGTCCAGAGAGAAAGGAGGACGCCTGTACACACCCCCCGCACCACACGCGCCAAGGGGAGGTAGACACTTAGTCCTGGCTGCGGCGAGGCCTGTGAGGGGAATTTATTTCCCTCAATTATGTGCTCTTGTCCCCAGTCTCAGTTCATCAGCACAGTGCCGCCAAGTCCATGAAAGGCTCCAGAATGAAGTAACCCCACGCACAGGGAGGCCTGGCACCTGCCCGCTGCGCTGCCAGGGCTGCAGCCTCACCTGGCCCTGAACCAAGCTGACATGGGCTCTCCGGTCTCACCCCCACCTCCCACCGCCAGCCCTGCCCCGTGCTCCATGTCAGGCCGCTCTGCCCGGCCCCTGGAGCCTATGGCCTGGGCGTCACCTTCTCTGACCCAATCACAAATGCCCTGATTGCAAAGAAAAAGAGGATTGCAAAAAAAAAAAAAAAAAAGAAAGAAAAAGCAAAAAGGGACTGATCAGTAGAAAATGCTGGCTGCTTTCCTTTTGTCCTGCCGGGGCAATCCTTCACTGCAGAGAACCTGATTGTGAAAACCACTACTGGGCACGGAAAGCCTCCATTTGCTTGAGTCATCAGTATCTAATAACAATGATGATGAGGATGGTAGCAGTAAGACAGATATCACTCAACTGAATTAGATGCTATTATTACTCCCATTTCACAGATGAGGACACAGAAACTCAGAAGTTAAATCACTGGTGAAGGTCTCATCGCTCTGAGGTAACAGAGCTGACGTCCGGCCATACTCTTCACGACCACCTTGCCCATCCGTCCATCCCTGCACCCACCGTGCACTCAGGCAGCCCCCTTCCAGGTCTCGAGGTGCAGCTGTGAATGAGAGGAGGCCCTGCTCTGAAGGGACAGGGGGAGGAAGGAGAGTGGGAGTGAGACGGACACAAAGCAGCTAAACGCGTGAACGTCCTGTACGTCAGAGGCTGATGAGGGAGGACAAAAGCAGCAGGGACAGGGGACAAAAGGAAGCCTGGAAGTCATTTCATGTGGGAAGCTCAGGGAGAGTGACATTTACACACAGACCTGCAAGAGTGAGGTGTGAGCCACAAGAGGTCTTGCAGGCAGAGAGGAACAGCAAGTGCAAAAGCCTGGGGGAGGAGGGCCGGCTGGAGGAACAGCCAGTGGAGGAAGGAGGGGTTTGGAGACTCTCAGGCAGGTCTGGGGTGGGGCGAGATCCTACAGGCCTTACAGGCCACTGTCAAGGCAGAGGACTGCCAAGACACAAGGGGCTCCCCTTCCTCTGGACAGATGTGGCCTGGGACTCCCCACCGTACTGGGTAAGTAAACTCCGGGATGGACGGTGGTCCTTGTCCCCTGAGCAGAGAGCTGTGTGTGTGTGGAACCACCTGTACAGCTCCCATGGCTGCCCTGGTGGGCTCTCCAGGAGAAAGGCTACTGTATTTCTCTAACCGTGTACGTGTGATATGTAAACGCAGGTATCGACGAAATCGCCTTGAGCCTTTGCCTTTCCTGGAGGGTGGGGTGGGGGGCGCTGGACTTGAGTTAGAGAGAAGCAAAGAGGGGAAGGAGACCACGCAGCCGCACGTGGACAATCTTGACCCATAAACCACAAGTGCCCACCTGTCCACAGTGGTCCAAAGCACGCCCCTGAGAAGCTGAAGGGACAGCGCCAGGGCTGGGGTGAGGGACTCAGGGCGCGAAAGGGCAGCAGCTCCAACCTGGAAAATTCATCACCAGCTGCTGCATGTTCCTTCTCCAAAACTACAGCCCTTCCACATAAATGAATTTCAATGCACTTTACAATTCAACCACCATATGAAGCTACGTGACCTCGGCAGGGCTGCTCTGTTAATGCTGCTCCTTCTACTACGAGATGAATTTGGAGTGGTCGGGGCCTCTACTTTTTAAATCGGCTATTGTGGGAAAAAGCCTGCTTCACTCGCCACTGCATGAAAGGTGTCTCCCCCTAGTGACACACACACCTGCCTGCTGCCAGCAGCACCACCACCACCCTCACTGGTACAGGGAGACAGGCGCTGCAGATCTCTCCAGCTGTATTTGGCCCCGATCCCAGCACCAGCTATCCCAAAGTACCCTGGGAACTCCAAGACAGACTAAGCCCTCCGGTGTTCTGAGTTTTGTTGTTAAACATTAATGGTGAACCCAGACACCTACCGGGGGGCTGGCTGGTCCACACACTGTATCTATGGCCAAGAGCTAGGTCTGGGCCCAAAGGGAAAAAAAAGGAGGAGCCCCGAAGAAATCAAAAGACGTGAAGAGGGGCAGGGAAAGGGGCAGCAGGAGGAACCCCTTCCGGGCTGGCTGGGGACCTGCAGGCTCCCTCAGGACCAGCCCAGAAAGGCGAGGCCGCAGCCAGAGCAGGAACGAGAAGGCACGAGGCGGAGGCCAGCAGGTGACTGGGAGCTGCGGGGAGCAGGGCACAGAACGGGCCCGACCCACTGCTGCTTCAAGTCAAAGCAGGTGTCCACGGTGACCGGAAGCCCCAGGAGGAGGCTGAGCACAGGGGGTGGCTGACCCTCTCTGTTCCATTCCCTTCCGTTCATCCAAACTGTGTTTTGGGGAAGGGGCCAGAACCATTATTAGAGCCTCAATGTGTGGCTGCTGCCTTTTACAGTACACTTCCCAGAATAAGCTGCCCCAAGACTTCATCCATCACCAAAAAAGGCAACTGCAGAAACCTTCAAGGCCAGCCCCTGCCCTTACACCAGCGGTCACCCTCCCCTGCTCTCGTGGGCCCGGGCAGCCTGCTCTGGCGGATGCTGTGTGGTGTGGGGGGCGGGTCCCTGTGCTGAGCAGTTAGGAACTTCCCAAATCATTAACCTTTCTCCGAGCGCATTGTACTGGGAGGTGCTCCCTCTGCAGCCTATTCAGGGGCCCTATTGATCTGCCGCACACTCGGTGCCTTCAAAGTTGTTTATGATCAATATGCAAATTGCCCATGGCATTGATCTAGTATTAATTTTCAATTAGGGAATCCACAAGGGGTCTCTGAGGGTCAATACCTAACAATGCAAAGGAAACTCTGCCGAGGAGTGCAGGCCTGATGCTGATAAAAGCTTCCCTAAGCCTCCTCCTCAGTAGTTCCGAGCCCTCAAGGCTGTCACCTTCGTTTTGGCTCATTCAGGTCTCTCCTAAGTTAGACCCCTTCGGCGGGTGCCTCCCAGGCTGGATCTCTGGCCGATGCCCTGAAATTCCCCCTCTACCCCCTCCACCCCGTGCCACAGGGACACTTCCTGGCCCGCCAGTGAGTTCCCCTGACCCCTGCCCTCTGGATCCGCACCCCAGGACTGAGCCTCCAGTCTCCCCACGCCACGCCCAGACCCAGGACCACTCTCTCCCCCAGCTCCCCAACCACACATACCTTCTTCCTCCCTCTCTCCCTCTCCCTGGTTTCTGCTTAGTCACAGAACGTCACCTTGGCACGCGGCCACGGCTGGAGCTGGAGAGCTGCACGGTCCCCAGAAGTCTCAGTCAGGCAGAGCTGCTGGGCTGCCAGGTTATGCTTGGCAAACAACCCGCTGATGTCATTTCAAAACTCCAGGGTGTGTGTGTGGGGTGGGGGGGTGGGGGGGAGGCACAGCTTCAAATCATCTGTTTCTACTTCTTTCTTCCAGCAAAATTCTTCTTCCTAACGCAACATGGGGGTGAGGGACTGGTGGTGGGGGGGGGAGACGATGCTAATCACTTTACCACTCATTCATGGTTCCCAGAAGAGGCCAAGGCCCGCCCTCCAGGGGCGCAGGGCAGGGCGTGGGAGCTACTGGTGGGCTGTCCCTGGGGAGAGCGTGCCCAGCTGGGACTGGAGTGACCCGGGAACTCAGTCACTCCATCACCGCCTCTAACAGCCCCTGAGAGCCTCGGTGGGAAAGCGGAGCAGCCAAAGGAGGTGTGTCCCCCTCTTCTCCCAGCAGGTAAGGGGGACCAGCAGGCCCCAACTGTGCTCCAACGAGGGGCCTGGCCAAGGACTCCGCTGGCCTTCTCTCCCTGCCAGGGGCTCTGAGTGCCCCACGTTTCCCCTTTTCTCCATTTGGAATAAACCCTCCAGGCTCAGGCTCCCCGCTATGCCACGATGCCGCCTGAAGACCCGACGCCACCCCAGACGGGGCGGTCACCTCACTTTCGGCACCGCCACTCACCCCGCAGACGGGCGCTTCAGCTAGCCAGGCTAATTGGTTTATGGGTAACATTAATTACCATGTTGCTCATTAATGGATGAAATCTTTATTGGTGCCATTGATCAGCGAACTTGTTAGCTGGACTCCTAACCAATGGCGGATGTAACAAGCTCTCTTATTGGCATATCAATTAATGCAATCAATTCCTGGCCGGCGGCTGCCATTCGCTTCCCCGGCTGTTCGCCTCTCCGGTAGGAGACAGAGCCCCTCAAGCACGCCTCTGCGTGAGAGTTCCCACTTCTCCACCGACTTCCAGGTGGTCCCTCTGCCACTTGGAACTCATCTACTGAAAAAATCACACCTATCCTTCCAGCTGAAGGTCACCTTTCTGTGTTCCAGCGGTGACTAAGGTCCTACTCTCTCTCAGGATACGTGAACTAGAAGGAAAGGTGTGAGGGGTCTGGAGACTTACAGGAAATGGGGACTGATGGAATATGGAAGCGGGAGATGTTTCCAGATGAGGCACTGACAGAAATGATTTGGTCTCCAGCCTGGATTCGACACTACTCCAGGAGATGATGAGACCAGCATGAAAACACAGACCAGTGATCAGCCCTCTGCCACCTGGGGAAGCCTTCCCAGACCCAGCCTTCTGATCCACAGTCATACCTGCTGACCACACCTAACTTGGTGCCTCCAATGGACAGACTCTGTGTGAAAACACTACCTGCCTATCTGAAATCCAAACCTACAGTATGGATGAGGAGCCACCATCACACTATCACCACCAGTAAACCTACGCACAGAAGTGGCATTCTAAGGTTCGTGGACATGCCTGCAATAAACGGTTTCAACGGCACTTATGTCACTGTAAAGTCACAGTTGGGAAAAGTTTTCTCTGGGCAGCAACGTGTCTTCAGGTAGGTTGTTTTAGAAAAGGCTCAGGGACTAGGGGTATGGGGTAGACCCACAGAGCCATGGATATAGAGCTGCACCATACCAACAGCTAGTGAACACCAGGGTAATTTACACCACCGCCAAGGGCATGAGCTGAGATGCTTACGGCTTTGGGAGGGTGCGTGGGGAATGCCTGGCCCCCAAGACATGCTTTAAAAGCATTACCGGGAGTTTGCCCCAAAAGGGAGCAGCTTGAAATATTATTCCAGATTTGTTTCTAAAAGCCAAAAATAAATTAATTTTTAAAAAGAGAGTAAAATCACTCCTCCACTCAGCAGTGCCGGTGCTATTAATAAACTTTGCAAGCGTGAACATTTGACTCAAGAAGAGAGGGGATAGGCAACAAGAACTGGTGGGAAGCAGATGGAGGGCAGGGACAAAAGCAGCTTTTGGCAGAGCAACGACAGAGCACGGGAGGCCCGTGAGGCCGCGGCTCGGGGACATAATTCTCGGTGTTTGAAAACACTGCTCGGGCCTCTAGAATAAACAGTAGAAATATTTCCTCTCATTTAGAAATAGAAAATGACATTTTTCCACATGGACCTCCAGTACTTTCATATTCACAGGACAGAGGTGAGTCATAAACAGATCAAGGCAGCAGCCAGAGAGAGAGACACCCCAGCCAGGTGACACCTTTTCCGGGTAGGGACTGACAGACAGCAGAGAGAAGGGGCCAGAGGTCTCAGAGGGGAGGCCAAGACCTCCTCAACCTGTTAAGCCGCCCTCCGCATGGAACAAAAGGCTGCACGTTCTACGCAGTCGTCACCCAATGCAGGTGACAGGGAGACGCCCAGACAAGGGGCCCTTCAGCAGCCACTCAACACCACAGCCTTCGGTTCTTCCAAAGGCAAGAATCCCAGTGTATGTCCAGGGCAGAGTTCCTGGGGGACCATGGTGTCCAAACCACTCCCTGGGGAGCCCCGCAACGCTCGCTGCAGGGGTGCTGCAGATTTCGATTCCAATTTCCTTTTACATTGGTTATTAAATTACTGGTTATTGTTAAATGCTGTAATAATTAAGCATACTCAAATGTGATACAGGCCGAAATTTAATATACCGGAGGCCAGGGCATTAACTTGCATGGCCAAATTCACTAGTTTCTGTGTAGATCTCTGAGGAAAACAACTTCTGCCATTTCTACTTAATTGAAGACTCACCAGAGATTGCAGGGCATCCTGCAAAAACCCTTGCCATTTGGAACTACTTCTACATGAATGAGATCTGTATCATTACGGAAACCAACCAAAATATATAAACAGAGCAGAATCTTAGTCCGTTCTATCTGACTACTTTCCCTAACTCTTAATTTTGATCAAAATGTTGATTGACTCTGCTTTAGTCTCACTTTTTGATACGTAATTGTTACAAATCTGAATTCCTAAAACAATTAGTTATAAAGCTGTTTTTTAAAAAATTATTTATATATGAGGTTCAAATTCGATTTCATTTTCTTTCAGAAAAGAGGGCTCCACTAATGAAAGTTGAGAAACCACTGTTTCATCCGATGTATAGTTCTAGATTAAAGCAGAGTGCACTCTTCAGAAACTTCACGGACAACTAAAGTTTCTGGTAAGAACCTAAAAACTCACAACTCTAAGTTAACAAAGCACCATTAGGCACATTTAACCTGCTATTAATACTCCCCTGGCACGTGAAGATAATGTGCCAAAGCGAAGACAGCTGTGCCACGGTGGTTAAATCAAAGTTGATTTAAAAGTATTGTTTAATGTTGCATATTTTCTTTACAATAAAAAATGAAGAAGTGAGAACAGCCAGTCTCTCGAAGACTTCCTATGGGAGCAAAAACCCAGTCCCTTTAAGACAGGGCCTCCTGCTTCGTCTCTCCTGGTGAAGGCTCAGAATGGCAGCTGTCCTTGCTCTGATCATTCGCCCAGACAGAAAACGCTCGTGACATATTTTCTTCTCCTAGGACCAGAGCTTAGAAGCTCTAAGACAGGAAAGAGGAGGTGTCTACTCCTTCGTTTATGTTTCACTAAGTCGTGAAACATATCTGTGTGTTTGCACCTACTGGGTTCCAGGCACTGAGGGTCTAATCAGACGAAGACACATTCCTGCCCTCACGGAACCTACCCACCAGCAGACTCACTTTGGTGACAACATGGTGACTGTGTTACATTTTGTCACCGAACCATCATGTCAACATGCACTTGGACAAGCGAATCTCCTCGTTAACTAAGTATACGCTTGCTCACCTGAGGTTGGCCTTGGGCGGTCTAACAGGGCTGCCACGCTAGGGTTCTAAGTTGGCCACGTTCAATACTATCAGCCAACAGCAGGCATCATTAAAGAATCAAGTCCCGCCCCCTCTAAAAAGCTCTTCATTCCCGAGACTCTGATCCATGCTTTTCTGAATCTTCACCTGGGTGAAGAACCAGATCTTCCGCAGCAAACACAATAATAAATCAAATCTTACCAGAATTGAGCTATAAATCTGTGAAGACTCCGATAATTTCTAGCTAAGGGAATAACACCACAAAAGTACTTTTTAAACTAATTACTCAGATTCCGAAGTGCTGCCCTAATGAGCCTTCTTTCTGCCCAGAACTTACTAAGAGGAAAACTACCTTCTGGTGCAGTAATTACTGCTTTCCCCTTCAAACTTCTAACTGGAGATCGATGCTGCATTTTAAGACCCATTGATTTACAATTAGCCTGGCTTTCCTGCTAAAGTGTTTTTTAAGCAGAGTTTACTTTTATTTTATTTTGAAATCTCCGAGATCTGGTTCTTGGATTTTACGGCCTCATGAGAGGGGACTGGAAATCTCAAAGAGGAAGATACACATCAGAAGAGAGAGGACTAGAGGGATGCAAATCGGATTCAGAGGAGTGTGTAAGGGGGAATGGGAAGTTGGTGTGTTCACAGGATAAACTCAGAGGCAAAAGTTGAAATAAAAAAAAAAAAATTTTTTTTTTTTTTTTTTTTTTTTTTTTTTTTTTTTTTTAAGCCAAAACTCGTGGCGAAGGGGAAAGAATGAAGAAATCCAAAGAGAGGAAGCAGAAGGCAGGGTGGCAGGTGGAGAGAGCTGGGTGCACAGTCTAATAAAGTGTGTAGCTGCTGTCAGGGTGGCTAGAGCTGCTCTCCTCATTGCCTCTGCTGTTTATTAGCATCCTTGAAAAGAAAAAAAAAAAAAAGCTTTGTGCATCTTTGCAAAACAAAGCACTAGTTAAAAATAGTGTGTGTGGCAGGGACAGTGTGCTAACATGAGGGTCCTGGCAGCTCCAGCATTTGCACAATCTGTCCCATGAGGAGAGCAGAAGTAAGCGAAGCAATTAAGAATTTCATGCTGATGGCTTCAAGCATGTTTTTCTATGCCATAAAGATAATAGCATAAAGGATATGGCCTTGCTTCCTCCCCCTCCCCTGCCTGGCAACTTCTGCCTCTGTCTTTTGGACTCTTTCTTTTCTTCACCTCTCATGGTTGAGGACTCAAGATGCTGGTGAGCTGGCCTGGCACCACTTGATGGAATCTGTCCCTTTGGTGCCTCAAGAAATGCAGCTGTACGTGAGAGCCCCTCCCTGCCCCCTGGCCAAACAGCAAAGCGGGAGGAGGAGACAGGAGCCCAGCGCCCCAAAGATGGACGGCTTAAGAAATGGGAAACGGTCTGTGAGGCTGGACGTCTAGGCTCCCCATGGCCTGCTCTTGTCACTTCCCTCCTGGGCTTTCCACCATTGCCAGCTCCCAGGAGTGACTGGCAGAAGATGGCCCTGAAGAGATGAAAGTGAAAAATAAAATTCTCAAATGACAATAAAAGCGGGGAAAACAAAAGCTACTAACTTTTTGCTTTTTTAAAAAAAAAAAATGTTATTTTATAGCAGGATTGTATAGGCCAATTTCAAAGACTAATATGAAAAAAGTGCAATTAAATCCTTGAAAAACTGACAGATCAGCAAAACAAAACCACCCGGAGGAGAGCCCGATTGAGCCTCATTAAGAAAGAGTTCAGTCTGTTTTTAAAACCCTTCTTAACACTTAGCTGGGTACCTCCCAGCAGTGAGGGCTCCCAATGCGGCTGGCATAATTAGTGTCAGAATGGAAAAGGGGGAAAAAAAATCAACCTAGGAAATAGAAATTAAAAAACAAATTTAAGGGGGGAGGGAGGTTCAAATGGAACAACCGTTCCAAATTCAAACAAACTCCCATCAGTCCATCTGAGAGCAATGGGGATACAACAAAATACTCCACCGTACCCAGAGATAAATATGTTCCAATTAAACAGAGGAAGGGCTGGGGCAGAGTGAGAAGATTTATGCTGCAATTCCCTATCTTCAACCTCTCCCCTCTTCCCCCCAAAATCTATTCTACATTGTGGTCACATCAACTCCGGGAGGCTGGGTTAATGGCAGACGGCCGGCAAACTGCACCGACCTCTCCATCAATTACAGCCATCACGCCTGACAATGGAGAAAATGAGATCTGGTGACAAATTTCCGCACCTTCGGCCGCCAGGATCCCCCAAAGCTGGCGTGCATGCGCATGTGTGGAACAGCGTGCGGACGAGCGTGCACGTGAACGCTTGCATGGGAAACCGCGAGCCTGTAACAAGGAGACACGGCGCTGAGACCCATTGCCGCGGAGCAGGCCACGGCGGAAGGAAACCTCCGGAGATGAGAAAGATGGCAGCGAGACGAAGCCATTTTATTAAATCAGGCAAATTCTAATTTATTCTGGAGAGACAGAGGGAAGAAAATGCATTTATTCTCGGTATGTCCTCGGAGCCAGCTCCTGTCACCTCAGCAGAGGGTGGAGGGGGAAAAAAGGTGCCAAGAGTCCTCTGGAAATCCAGGGTAGGTTTCCCCTTTAGAGAGCAAATGTTAAAATAGATTTCAACCCCTGCCCCAGGAATATGGAAAATAATGCTTACGCCAGAGAAACCCGGGGGTTTTTTCTCTGGTTTTCTGATTATTCTAGTAGGCGAAGGGGGCTTACAAATTTGATCCATCGTGATGTGAAATCGAAAAGGCAACCGCGGCTGAGATAAGGCGCTGACAAGGGCTGACGCAAGGAACCGCGGCACATCCGCGCCGCGGCAAGGACACGTCACCTGCCGCCTTCCCCACGGTGGGAACTTAAATGTCGATGTTCAAGTCGGAAAAAGAGAAGGAAAGAAACGCTGTGCACGAGAACACACGCGCAGAGGTTGCCTTTCATCAACAAAAGGCGCTTGTGTTTAGACTGCAATTAAGAAACCAAGGTTTTAATTAAACAATTACATAAAGTTAGTTTGGCTCCCCACACGGGCCGACACTCCCCCAGCGTCTCGGGCTTAGCTTGGAAATGAGCGTTTAGAACTCCGGCTGTTAGGAAGGAAAAGAAACCGATGTCACGGCGTACGTGTGACGATGAAGCCAGACCGCGTACCTGTCTGTTTTGTGGTTCCCCCTCCGTGCTCCAGAATGAAGGAGAAGCCAGCGAGGCTGACACGAGCACCTGCACCGTGGTCAGACCAGAAGGTATCGGTAACACGGTACTATTCATGGCTTAACAGAAGACATGATCCCAAGCGTCACGCAAAAGCTGGTGGCAGGGGAACGTCAGTGGGGGGGCTTCCGATGCCCCCAAGTGAACAACAGTGTCTCTGTCAAAAGCACAGGCGGGAGCAGCTAGCTCACCGAAAGGCCCCTTTTAATTAGGGGAGATTTGCAGGAGCTCAGATACCTTCAAACTCCCAACCCACCTCTGGGAGGGGAGAAAAGCAATCTACTTTTTCGCCTGATGCTTTTACGCCACGTAGGTGGTGGCTGCTCAGGGCAGACAGAAAATGCACGTGGGTCCAAGGGCCCAGATTCCAGGGAGGACTTAGATGATGGTGAGTAAATGGGGCCTGGCTTGTAAAAACAGACAGACAAGACAGCCTGACCAGTTTTCATTTCAAGGCTCCCAAGTCCACAGCACTGCAGGGTCAGCCAATACAGAGAACTCCACACTGACACCTGCAGGCCATGCTGTAGACTGCATCTCCCCAGGATCTAAGTGCAGCCTTCGGCTCCATAATTCCACATTCCCCTGGCTTCTCTGCCTGCTTGAGACACTGTTTTGAAATGCTTGCAACTCTAAAAATGGCCATGTCAAATGCTGAAGAATCCAAGATGGCCAGTCAGCTAATACTAACTGACCGCCTCATACCTGCCTAGCACTGAGCTATCTTGCTAGGCATTTCTCATCAAGTCACTGAACGAAAGCTGAGCAACAGAGCTCATTAGTTGGCAAAACGCTCTATCCATTTACTACCCAAGGCTCACCAAATTACAAGGTCATCGATACTTTTCAGGTTTCAGAGACCACAAATACCATCTTGGTTTTTCACAACAGGAGATTCTTCAGACAACCAGGACAATGGAAAAATTAAAACAACGACTAAAGAAACTGAATTTGAGATTTTTTTTTTTTTTAAGTAGAGTTCTTTTCCCCTTCAGGCTACTGCCCTCCTAGGTCTGTAAAGAACTAGGCAATTCGAAGATGACATTGAAGACTGGATAACGAATTCATCCCCTAGCAGCAGAAAAGCAAAGGTGCATTTTCCGCCAGAACCCTTCATCTTTCAGACAGAGGTTTTTCTTGCTGTTCTCACCACCTGATGGTGTGAATTGCCTAAGAGAGCAAGGAAAGGAGACTGAAGCATCTCAGCCTGAATGCGAGGCAGCCAATCAGAACTAATCTCTGCATTGGAAGTAAATTCAGTGTCTGTTCCACGATCTGGTGCCCAGGAGGGCTCAGGCGGCAGGGGTTGGGCTGGCTTCCCCTGGTACCCTCCCCACCCCCGCACATACACAGCCCCAAAACTATCGAGGGACCTTCTGTGCAACGCCTTTCACCACCATCAGCCGTGGAAGAAATTGTTTTAGATCCAGGCCAAAACTAAATGCAAAGCAACGAGTTTGACTTTATGACTTATTTATTTATTTCTTCCTTCATGAACAGAAGGTTAATATAAGAGCGACTCCTTGGCAAACCTTTAAGGGTAATTCAAGCGACACTGATGTGAATCAATGTTCCCTTTGTGAACACATTACTTGGCAGAAACTGGCTTTTTGTAACCCCCTTAAACCTAGCTGGCAAAACAGAATGAAGGGGAAAAAAAATGTCCTTCAAACAAAAGGATGAGGTGAAAATAAAGGGAGAGTCGACTGTACTTTATTCTCTTTCATAGGAGCAAATGGATCTGGTGCTTTTATACATTAATCAATCAATATCACTGACTGTACATCAGCAGGGTAGCCAAGTTATGAATGACCTTTCTGGCAAAGGGGACACTTTTAATGCTCATAAGACTGCTCATAGCTTAGCAACTTTCCGAATTTATGCCTGCATGATTACCCCTTAGAGGCGAGTGGCCGTTAGCACTGCACTAAATATGGCAAGGTTAGTCGTTTCCAATTTGTGCATACGGAAGGAGAGATGTGGACACGCTGCCCCATTTACGCACGAGCTGCCGCAGCCTGGGAGAGGCAGAGGGCAGCAGCGCCAGCCACCATGGTCCCTGCCCGCACGCCAGGGCTGGCTTCCCTTCTGGAAAGCTAGCTGGGCCTCCTGTGCAGCCTCAGGCCAATCCAAACAGGGCGGTTTCAGGGAACTAATCTAGAAAGCAGTGCTGAGATCAACTTCAGCCCTTGCCTGCTTGTCCCACTCAGCTCCTGAGTGCACGGAGCTGGCAGGCAGCCTGGGCCGGCCTCTGCAGAGGGTAATCCCAGGTGACCTCTGCAAGCCCTCCCCACGCTGACTAGACCCCTCCAAATGGCAACACCACTTCGTGCTCCCAAAAGGAGAATAAGACTTTCATCTTTCAGTTTTTTGGTTTTTTTTTTTTTAAAGCAATCCAAAGAAGGGCATTTCTACCAAAAAGATGACGTTGACTTACTCTCTCCACAA